TCTATGATTCTATGATTCTATATTACCAAGTTTTACCAACACAGCTGTGTTGATGAGTCACGCAATAATTTACATCTTCTAGCTATCTTTATTGTGGTGGTAAACCCCTTGCTAGGTATGTCATCAGAAAACAAGAGAACTTTGCTCAGCTATCTAAAGCTAGATGAACAGAGAGCACTAATATAGTAGGAGAAAAAATGCGTGCCTTTCTTAATCTGCATCTATATGTGACATACAGATGACACTGCTGTCACATCCAGTGTAGGCAACTTTTTCACTGTCTTTTCTATAACTGTCTTCTCTGTAACTCACTGTTTTTCTGTAATTCAAGAGACCTACTGCACCAAATTCCTAATTAGGAAGTAAAAAAAAACTCCATGCATACAGACATCTCATCTACTCACAGAAACTTTTATCTGTTTAACTTTGTAATTTATTGCTATTTCATTTATTAAGCTTTATATATTAAACAATTAAAAGAATTATTAAAATATTTTTTTAAAATATTTGAGCCACATTTACCATGGAAAAGGAGAATACATGCAAGGATTACCACAGTCAGTAAGCATTGCACATTAAGTGTTGCACCTCTAAGTGCACTGTTACTTGGGTTTACAGTGCTATTATTGACAGTGACATCTTCCTTCTGGAAGTTTGTTTCAAGACTGCAGCCACTCAGACACTGACTGAGGGAGATAAATTCAAAATACCTGGAATTTCAGAAAAAGCCAACAACTAACATATGCTGCAAAAAGTTGAAATACTTCCAAAGGAAAGGCTTCAAATTTATCTTCTGTTATTTTCAGTTGCTACCAGTAGCTGCAGAAAAGTAAGATAACTTTAAAACTAAATAAATATTATTTCTAAAGACCTGAGAATAACATGGGGAAGATCAAATGAATTTTAGGAAATTTTCACATTGAGCTTATCTTGACTTACAACATTAAGTTGTACGGAGCCATGTAATATTCCATTCTCTGCTTCTGCAAGAGAGGTAACATTTCTTATCTTGCAGTACATTTTTGCTACATTGAAGAACCAATTTGCACCTTTTCAAATAATTGATATGTATGGAGGAAAACAGAACTGGCAGAGCAAGTAAGAGGGACAATGCTCAAAGGAAGCCATCTTAGTGTTGCTCAGAACAGGCACCAAAAATGCAGACTTCAGTTGTATACTTCTGGTACCACTGTCCTTTCATTTTGTAGAGAAGACTATGTCCCTGTAAGAAAAATTGACTAAATACTGTTTTCCAGCAACTTCCTACTGACTCAATACTGCTTTCTGCCAAATAATTTTTGTTGACTCATTTTCCCATTTGGTGTTCTTGTGCTGTGAACCTAAAATGATTAAAAACAACCTTCCACAAGATACACACCAAAGCACTGATTACCAACATTTGCCACTGACTTTTTTTTGAAATGCACTAAAACTCTTCATCAACACAAGAAGTTAGCAAAACAACAGTTAGTACATTGCAGTCCTAAAAAAAACCACTTACTAGGACATCTTCAGTAGTTCATTGGTTTCAGGTTTCCACACTCCTCTCACCAACTGCTCAAAGTTGGACATCAGGCCACCACCAGCTCCTGAAATTGCAGAGATTTACGATAAATCCCCACTGATTGCTACCACTACTGTGCAACTTATTATTGCTCCCAGCAAAAATTGTTGCACCAGGTGCCAAATGTGGCACCCAAAGCTCAGACTTAACAGAGACTAACCCAATCTTTTACACATGCACGGCTCGAGCAACCAACATGAAACCTCAGAGGTTTAGCTACTTAGCAAGAAACTCAGGTTCACCTTTATGTGACAGTGAATCATCGCTGCAAAAAAACCACCTGAATTGCCAAAGTAATTCTCCAGAGAGGCTTGTATCATTCCTTTGTCTGTCCTGTCAAGTAAGTACAGGGTATCTTTATAAAATATGAGGACCTTCTGTGAGAAAAGGTGGATATGTGAAGTTACATTAAAAGAAGGAAAGAGGTGAGGAGGTGATAGACACTCTGGCCAATGAGACTAATCAGTATCATAACCTGGGAAAAGAATATGTTAGACAATCACACTAACACATGTTGTTTCCCAAAGCAGAACAGAATCAAACAAACAGAAATAAGAGCTGTACTACTACTTCCTGAAGGGGTTCTAACATTGTGACTTCAAATGCTGGGAAGGTAGATTCCAGGGTCATATTCCAAACAGCAGGCAGGCAAGAAGGTTCATTCCTGTGTTTAAAATCAGCTCATGGTTGCAACCCAAAATGCTAAGAAAGTAAGTTCTCTTCTTCAGCCTCATGCAAGGCTTGCAAGGAAAAAAGCTGAGGAAATATGTTGTTGGAAAATTTAGTAACAGCACTCAAGCTACAGAGGAGATCTATTTCTTTATTGCCACCAACTGCCCATCCTGTAAGTCCTCACAAGACCTTCAGAAGGGTTAAGATGAACTTCCCTCAAAGTCATTCAATGTTACTCTTAATCCAGGCAGAAAAACTGCTATACAGGCTTTTCCCTTGAGGAGATAACAGACTGTATTAGGACTATCATATCCAGCACAGCAAGGAATGATTCTACAATTATGGTGAAGGGCTAGCCATTTAAATACCACTCTAAAACATCACAGTACATCAGAACAAGATGTTATGCACGTTACCTCTGGCCCAGCCCACAGCTACCATGACAAGCCAGGCATCTTTGAAGTGACTGTCAGCATATGCAACGCCAGCCATTATCTTCCAAGTCCTAGCCACTTCCTTCATTCCTGCAACAAGAAGCCGAAGAGGCAGAAAGGCAAAGCACTGGTAGAATATGTCTTGTGGGCAGTAAAACACAAAATACCTGAAAATAATGAGAAAAAAACATTAGAAGCATAGAATCATTTAGGTTGGAAAAGAACACTAAGATCATCAAGTCCAATCAATAACCTAGCACTGCCAAATCCACCACTAAACCCTGTCTCTAACTGTCTCATCTACCCATCTTTTAAATACCTGCAGGGATGCTGACTCAACCACCTCCCTGGGCAGCCCATTCCAATGCCTGATAACCCTTTCAGTGAAGAACTTTTTCCTAATATCTGATCTAAACCTCCCCTGGTACAACTTGATAAGGCCTCCCCTGAGCCTCCTCTTCTCCAGGCCACCCAACCCCAATTCCTTCAGCTGGTCTTCACAGCACTTGTCCTCTAGACCTTTGACCCTTTTTTGGATGTGCTTCAGCACCTCATATCATTAGCAGCATTCAAATGTTTTTGCTAAGGAATTCACTTTCTATTAAAGGTATTTCTTTAAATACCTTTAAAGGTATTTTTGGAATATGACTAGCAAAGCATGATATAGCACTGATAACACTGCCTTGTGTTGTAGATATATTGGAACAAATCTGAAATGCTTTTGAGCGTGCTTGAGCTCTTGCACTTAAGGCATCAAACTTTATTTGAAATTGTTCTTACTGCCTCACTGACCCAGAGAAGAGTCCACTGAAGTACGTAAGAAACAGCTTTAAATTTTACTACCTGTTCTACAGCTTACATATAATGTTTTTGTAATTCAAATTATTAATTTAATATCTGTCTGTCTGACTTTATGTGGTTTGGAATTCTGTGGGTTGTTTTCTGACTGGTGGTGGTTTTTTTTTTCTTTTGTCTTTTTTTATAACATTATAACACAGTGATAAATTACATTCTGACACTATTCTTTTACACTGATAGGTACATGGAATTATGCAACTTCATCAAGAATGCCTCCACATGCCAGACGAAATGCATAGCTATTTTCAAGATTATTTCACATCTTAGTAACCACCAATTCTAGCTTTTCCAGCTTGCCAACTACAAGCACATATCTTTTTCCAAAGTGTTGAAAGCACACTACTCAAAATTTAATATTTTTTATCAACTTGCTTTTAAAAGAGAGTAAGGATGGCTAAGAACAAAATCTTAAACTGACAGAAAATTTTAAAATGTTAGATTATGTGGTGTTTTATTTTATTTCTTCAGTCATAAAATTCAGTTCTTACAGAGACATTCCAGGTCTCAAAAAATGGAAAAAAGTAATAAAGACTAATTATTAATTATTAAAAAACAATTATGGTTAGAGATTTCAGAGCAGAACATCACTCACACGGGTCTCTTTTGTTGTTTCATTCAGCCTGCCCCTCCAATGCTTACCCTTTACAGCAGAATGCAAGGAAGCTTAGAAAAGCAAAGTTTAGCTGAAGTCCTGTCATAGTTATAGATTTGCTTTTGCTGGAGTGGATATAGTACCTTGCCACCACAAACTTCTAAAGTGTTCAAGACCTCTCAGAAATTGCTATTGCATTGCTGTTGCATGAAAGTTATGGGAATATACCTTAATAGCTAAGTCCTCGTCCACCATTTTTAGCTCTATTTATATGCCTTCCATTTTCTCTTATTGTAAATTCCACTGCTTCTGTATGCAACCAAGCTTCAGTTGATATGAATTCAAAGAGGTACACACAGCGTGTATGTTAACGGTTACTCAAATAGCTACATTGGCCATGTACTCAACAAACTACACTATCCACAATTAATTTACAATTGCAGAATGTGGTCTTAGACACGGAGGAACCGGTAACCGGATTGGGCCTTGCATGGCAACTCCACCACGGCATTTCTGCCTGCAATTCCTGCTAGCAACAGCTGCTGACCGTAGGTGTCGCTGTCCTACGGACAGGAGTGTTTCATAAGCGCGCAGCACAACCGCTTGTTTTCCAGTTCGATGCGTGGCTAGGGGAATTTCGTTTCACGTGATTAAAGACCGAGAATTAAAGTCATTATACTCATTAAGAGAGACCTCTTGAAAACTAGAAGCTTAAAAGATTTCATAACATTCACAGGTCCTCATTAAACCTCTTTATTTGTCCAGAGCAAATCACGTTAAAGTTCAACAGAAATCATGTTCTGTTTACATTTACTACTAACTTCTGTCATTTGTTAAAACAAGCAGTCGTGTTACCTGCATCAGACTAATATGAACTATATACAGATTCTATAAGTTTTGTTAGTACTGCACTATTTATTGCACATCATTCATTTCATTGATTTGCCTAAATGAAATCTGTCCACATCTTCCACTGCAACATGAAGGCCAGAGGACTAATAGATAGATACACACAGATAGACAGAAACACGGTAATTTCAATGAATTTGCAATAATAAAAGCCGAGGGGCTACAATGAGCAGATACTAAAGGACTTGAATAACACTCTTCTAAGAGAGGAACTGAGACTTTTAAATGCAAAACCCACTGCTCCTAACAGATTATAATTTTTAAAGTTTGAGGGTGTCTTCAAAAATCGATTTCCGTGACAAACGAACTCCACTGGAAGGCCACATTTATATGAAAATAATTGCAGTGGGTTTATTCATTCCAAAGCAGGACAAATTGCTGCCTCATTCACTTGCCTGACTTTCCATTCAGTTCTTTACTGTGTTTTACTACAACATCCATCCATCTGGGAAAGGGCAAAGTAAAGGGAAAAAAATATGTCAGGAAGCAGAAACTAGAGAAGAGGAAAGATTAGTGTCCTAGATGTTCAATTACAGAAAAGTTCAAAATTTTTACATCAGTCAGGTTGTTGTCTTCAAGAGCTACTGCTGAAAAACTAGACTACATTTATGACTCCCCAACATGCAGAAAAGCAGTAACTGATGTCCACTTTATTCCAAAAATAAAATTTTCAGCTGCATGACCAGGAATAGTCTAGTCTAGTGACTGAGCATTTCATTATACAACAAGAGTTGCTCTCTTAGGAGCATTTTATTCCTATAGAAAAGTATCATAACAGCTATTTCACTGCAGTGACTTTTGGGATGAAGAAATAGTATCCAAATCTGTAACACTTTTAAGTTAAGCTTTTGATTTACATGGATGTTTCATGATACAATCTCAGTTTACAAAAAAGTGTAGCTTACTCAGAACCAACACTACTCATCTAACCCAATCGTGGCTGCTTACCAGACTGAAGATGCCAGTAGAGTGTTTGTGCCCTTTGCCAGAAATGCTATGGGAGGTTCTGCAAGCATCAATGAAGACAAAACTGAACCACCAAAGCAATAAAGCATAGCAGCAAACCAGCATGCAATCGGACTTCGGACCGACACTTCCACAGCTCCTGAAACAAAGAGAAAAGATGCATAAAAATAAATAAACAATGGAGAATCACATCACATCGCATTTTATAAGTCAGTAATTTCCAAGTCATACAGTCCCACACTGTTCCTTTAGACAATGAAAAATCCTGCAGAAATCTGTAGGCTTTCACAGGAAAGGTCTTCAGAAATGCAAAATTCAGAGTACCCTGGCTTAAGCATATGCCATCTAAATAAAAGACTGACATCGTATTCTCTGAACAACATTTGGGGCTTGGTTTAGTATAATTGCTGCGCTACCAAGATAAAGCTTCTGGAGAATGGATAAGAGGTATCATTGTAAATATATGGCACAGATATACAGTTGCTTTCAAATTTGTATTAAAAATACACCAGTGGCCTTGCTGACCTAGACAGGATCGGTGTTGGTAACTTTCAGGGGGTTATTCTACAAAAACCATTTCTATTTTTGAGTGTTCATGAATTCAAGGTCACTATCATTCTTTTCCCTCATAACACCCTGCTAACTGTGTTTGCTGACCAAAATGAAAGCAGTATCCCAATCAACTCTTAAATAGTTTCACCTGCAATCATGAACAGAGAAGAAATGCTACCTGAAGCCATAATAATAAATGTTGTTTTCCTTATTATTATGAAATGTTCAGTTTCATCTATTTTTCTATTTTGTTATCTTTAAAATGAATTAACCCTTTTAAATTGCAACAGAACTATGCCAAAAGAACATTCAAATCAAAAGATAATGCTGGAGGTTTCAGGGGGAAACAATACTTAAATCCAGAAATACCCTCCAGAAGTTGTTTTGGCTATTTTCTTCCACTTCAGAAGTCCAATGTTGACAAAGCTTGCCCTTTACACAGGTGCAGAGCTCTGTTTGCCTGAACTAGGTTACTTTTCTGTAGCCCAAAGGCTGAAGTTCACAAAAGTAAAGATGAAATATTGTGTCTGCCCCAAAATGAAATTGGGCATGTTCACATTCCACAGGAGAAGCTTTTGGTGTTTCAGGCCCTCCTGTGGAAAAAGAAGCTTCTTCCTCAAGATGAGAAGCTCAAATGTATCAAAGAGAATACAGCACTCTCAATATCATCCACTTTAAACAACAGCATTAACAAGATTATTCCAGTTTTAGTGCTGGTACAGCTATCACGTATTCCAGCACTATCTAAATTCCCATGTAACAGCGAATTTATAAAAATGAGCACTCCTAAGTATTACAGAATGTCTGAGTATAAAATACATTTTTTTAACTATTGCATGATTTATTTTCCAGACTGCAATCGCTGGTGTTGCGAGTTACGCTCAACTTTGTTATTGCACATTAACACTTCTCCAAAGTAGCTATGAATTAATGTTCACATGCATAAAATTAACAGTAGAAAATTCTAAAATCTGCTAATGTGACTTGACAGCAAAAATGAAAATATAAAGCGGTCCTTTTACATCCAGACCCCATATAACTGAACGGAGACCTATTTTCACCAACATATTTGAAAAGGGTAAGACACGTGCAGCATATTAACGTGTCTCTGACCAGACCACACAATTTCGATACCACGAGCCACTTGAGGTTACCCAGTTATTTCCCTGTGATACATAGCTACCATTTAAGTTTCCAAAAAGAATACATAGTAATGCCTGCAGATTATTAATCAATTATAATACATCCATCCTGGGTGGTTAATAACTGCTATTCCAGCTATGATTTAACATTCAGTTCATACTTCTTGCATGTCAGCAACAGATCAGCATGCTGCCACCTGAATTACAGTTATTAACTCAAAGTATTAGAAGATCTTCAAGAGCTCTAAACTTTCCAGCTATTAAGCCAAGAAGAAAAAAAAATACTGTCACTGACAGATCTGACCAGAATTCTGACAGCACTTATATTGTCCGGAAGTGCTTTTTCACAAAAGCTATGCTGATGTTAGCGAAGTGGAGAGAGTCTTTTCATCCTGTTGTTAAATCTGTATCCATTCCAAATGAAAGTTTCAAGGTAGCGGATGATACTGCCAAATACCTTTAGACAGAAAGCCCCTTTATGAATGGAACAGTTATACTGAACACTGCCACAAGTCAGCACCCAGAAACAACTCACAGTAGTAACAATTTTGTGAAGATGCTAGCATACGTAAGCTTTTTTTAGTAAGTCTTCACACTTGCTAAGTGCACTTACACAGCAGAAATAAAAATTCACCTTGACACACTTAGGAAGAAACCAAAAAACAGTTCTCACTAAACAAACAGTGCAGAGCCTTAAAAATCTGAAGCAAGCAGAAGCTCCTCAATCTGCACTATAATCCTGAAAGCCAGCTTAGTTTCCTACATCATTATTATCTGTGATGAAGTTCCTGTCACTGTGCAGGTACTCCACAAGGAGTTATTCTAAACATTAAAATAAGGCTAGTCCCTAAATTTGTGACAGCTAAAGACTAGGTTTGGGGTTAACAACTGTAGTACAAAAGATTTTCTAGATAAGAGTATGTAGAGATTGAAGTGTCATTATGTACACATACACAATTCAGAACCCTGTTACCGGGAATGAATATTTTTCCTAATTTAATTTTACTAATTTACTGGCTTGATGGTCACACTCAGAGAGTTGCAGTCAACACTCCATGTCTGAGTGGAGACCAGTGATGAGCAGCGTTCCTCAGGGGTTGGTATTCGGACCAGCACTGTTCAACACATTTGTCAGCGACATGGACAGTGGAATCAAGTGCACCCTCAGCAAGTTTGCTGATGACACCAAGCTGTGTGGTGTGGTTTACACACTGGAGGGAAGGGATGCCATCCAGAGGGACCTGGACAGGCTGGAGAGGTGGGCCACTGCCAACCTCATGGAGTTCAACAAAGCCAAGTGCAAGGTCCTGCACCTGGGTCAGGGCAATCCCAAGCACAAGTACAGGCTGGGTGGAGAATGCATAGGAAGCAGCCCTGAGGGAAAGGACTTGGGGGTACTGGTGGATGAAAAGATAAGCCAGCAGTATGCGCTGTCAGCCCAGAAAGCCAACCATATCCTGCCTGGGCTGTATCCAGAGAAGCATGGCCAGCAGGTCGAGGGAGGGGATTCTGCCCCTGTACTCTGCTCTTGTGACACCCCACCTGGAGTACTGCGTCCAGCTCTGAAACTCTCAACATTATGAGGACACAGACCTGTTGGAGTGAGTCCAGAGGAGGCAACGAAGGTATCTGAGGGATGGAGCACCTCTCCTATGAAGAAAGGCTGAGAGTTGGACTTTTTCATCCTGGAGAACAGAAGGCTCCGGGGAGACCTTATAGCACCTTCCAGTACCTGAAGGGGCCCACAAGAAAGCTGGAGGGATTTTACAGGAACCTGTAGCGATAGGACAAGCATGGCTTTAAGCTGAAAGAGGGTAGTTTTAGATTAGATAAAAGGAAGAAATTCTTCCTGGAGAGGGTGGTGAGGCACTGGAACAGGTTGTCCAGAGAAGCTGTGGATGGCCCATCCCTGGAATTCTTCAAGGTCAGGCTGGACAAGCCTTTGAGCAACCTGGTCTAGTGGAAGGTGTCCCTGCCCGTGGCAGGGGGGTTGGAAATAGATGATCTTTAAGGTCCCTTCCAACCTAAACCATTCTGTGATTCTATACTATCTATGCGTACAATGTGAAACGTCACCAACTAGCACACAACCTGCCTGCTAGATTCCCAGGCTGTTTCCTATCAGTCAGAACTGCCTTAACAGCCTCCTGCATAATCAGTGTGAAGGATACGAGCCCATGAGCTGAGCAGCTCTGCTCTCACCTCTCAGATGTAATACCTGACAGCAAGTTCTTGGCCTGCAATCCGAATTCCTTCTCTGCACAGGATCATAGAATGGTTTGGGTTGGAAGGGACCTTTAAAGATCATTTAGTTCAACCATAAACCTAATTTCAGGGTAGGTCAATCCTTTTATTCTTGGGAATTTTTATATCTTTAAGCTGCAAAAGGGCATGCAATAAAACTCCTGTCTGATTTCACTAGTGCCTGTGTTCTGAGAAGGCAAGGAAAAGGTCAGCTGGGCACATGGTATGTGGTTTGTGCAGCCCATCGGACATTATTTATTGCCAGACAGACTAATGAAGACTGCAGACAATTATTTGTATGGTTATGGATAGCAAAAAACATCTGGATGTTGACGGAAGAGCAGGCGGCACGGGCAGAGCAGGGAGAGGCACCCTGCTGCCAGCAGATCACCCCCCACCCGGCAGTACCCGGCTGCAGATCTGTGCAACGCTTTGGTGTAAAACCCAAAACTCTTGCTTGCAGGGTTGTCGTTTCAGAGGGCACTAGGAGCACTGACAAACCTCCAGCCGCACCC